TGAACACTATTTCAGTTACATCACGGAGTGTTAATTAGCTACAGGCGAGACGAAGCTCGAACAGGTGCATGCTTTTACATCTTTGGTGAAACTGTTGCTAAGAGACCGATGTCGAATCGTACATGCTTTATCGGACAAGTATGTGTATGCTTAAGGGAAAGGTATGTGTATGCTTAAGGGACAGGTATGTACATGCTTAAGGGACTGGTATGTGTATGCTTGAGGGACAGGTATGTGTATGCTTGAGGGACAGGTATGTGTATGCTTAAGGGACAGGTATGTGTATGCTTAAGGGACAGGTATGTGTATGCTTAAGGGACAGGTATGTGTATGCTTGAGGGACAGGTATGTGTATGCTTGAGGGACAGGTATGTGTATGCTTGAGGGACAGGTAAGTACATGCTTAAGGGACATGTATGTGTATGCTTAAGGGACAGGTATGTGTATGCATAAGGGACAGGTATGTATATGCTTGAGGGTCAGGTATGTGTATGCTTGAGGGACAGGTATGTTCATGCTTAAGGGACAGGTATGTGTATGCTTGAGGGACAGGTATGTGTATGCTTAAGGGACAGGTATGTGTATGCTTAAGGGACAGGTATGTGTATGCTTAAGGGACAGGTATGTGTATGCTTAAGGGACAGGTATGTGTATGCTTGAGGGACAGGTATGTGTATGCTTGAGGGACAGGTATGTGTATGCTTGAGGGACAGGTATGTGTATGCTTGAGGGACAGGTATGTGTATGCTTAAGGGACAGGTATGTGTATGCTTAGAAACAGGTATGTTTATGCTTAGAGACAGGTATGTGTATGCTTAAATGACAGTAATGTGTATGCTTAAAGGACAGGTATGTGTATGCTTAAGGGACAGGTATGTGTATGCTTAAGGGACAGGTATATGTATGCTTAAGGGACAGGTATGTGTATGCTTAAGGGACAGATATGTGTATGCTTGAGGGACAGGTATGTGTATGCTTAAGGGACAGGTATGTGTATGCTTAGAAACAGGTATGTTTATGCTTAGAGACAGGTATGTGTATGCTTAAATGACAGTAATGTGTATGCTTAAAGGACAGGTATGTGTATGCTTAAGGGACAGGTATGTGTATGCTTAAGGGACAGGTATGTGTATGCTTAAGGGACAGGTATGTGTATGCTTAAGGGAATGTATGTGTATGCTTCAGGAACAGGTATGTTTATGCTTAGAAGCAGGTATGTTTATGCTTAAGGGACAGGTGTGTGTTTGCTTAAGGGACAGGTATGTGTATGCTAAAAGGACAGGTATGTGTATGCCTGAGGGACAGGTATGTGTATGCTTGAGGGATAGGTGTGTGTATGCTTAAGGAACAGGTATGTGTATGCTTAAGGGAAGGTATGTGAACGCTTAAGGGACAGGTATGTCTATGCTTAAGGGACAGGTATGTGTATGCGTAAGGGACAGGTATGTGTATGCGTAAGGGACAGGTATGTCTATGCTTAAGGGACAGGTATGTGTATGCTTAAGGGACAGGTATGTGTATGCGTAAGGGACAGGTATGTGTATGCTTAAGGGACAGGTATGTGTATGTGTAAGGGACAGGTATGTGTATGCTTGAAGGACAGGTATGGGTTAATGACATGAACGCCTTGATTCGCCATGATACTATTTAAACATTACAATTGTGACAAAAAAGACCAATATCAGCGGATATTGTGTAATTATGCACAAAGGAATAATATTAAGGATCTATATAACGTCAATGCCAGAGACTAATCAGGTTTGATTACATGCCGAAACAGATTCCTTTGGGCTAGAAAGCAAAATGACGGTGAAAATATTATGCAGAAATCACTGAAAATTAGTGTACCAGGTGTACGCGAAACATGCACCATAACTGGTTGTTCCGATCAAAGAAAAAACTTGAAAAATACTTATTTCACGGTACACAGTATTGAGCAGAGTGAAGCAGGTATCTTCAAGTGTATGCTTTCTTTTGCCCCGGCACTTCAGCAATAGTGAGTGAGTGAGTATGGTTTTACGCCGCTTTTAGCAATATTCCAGCAATATCACGGCGGGGGACACCAGAAATGGGCTTCACACATTGTACCCATGTCGGGAATCGAACCCGGGTCTTCGGCGTGACGAGCGAACGCTTTAACCACTAGGCTACCCGACCGCCCCTCAGCAATACCTTACCGTCATCATTGTGACATTCTTTATCCGACAGGTCACTGAGTGAGTCTGATCTGCTGTTGATCGGTTGTATGTCTTCATGGCCGGTGAGCCAGTAGGTCTTGATGCGACCGCCGAACACTGTCGTCAACTCCCAGTCATCCTGTGCGATATTGATAATAATAATAATAATAATAATAATAATAATAATAATAATAATAACTTCTATTATTGGTCATGGCAGGTGCAACGTTTTATCGCCTAGGATTGAAGTTTTGGAATCCTGTTACTGGTCACGACAGTTGCCAGAGTTCCAGATAACTTTTTGAGCAATTCAGTTTTTACTCGATGGTCGCTATGTAAATTGGGTTATTACATTTTTCATAGGGTCACCAATATTTTTTCACTCATCTCTTAATCACTCTATTGGGGTTTGTCCAAAATAAGTAAACGTTTTGAGATTTCAAAATAATAATAAATTTTAATGATGTTTTAGACGTATATAAGGCTTCTTCCTTCAGGCTTGATTCGGAAAGTAAATTAGATCGTTAATTGTGTTTCGGAAATTAGCTCCATTGTACGCATGTTGAAAAAGCTTCATTTGGGGATTTACCCATGCTGTTATTATATATATAATGAGATATATATAGAATACTAAACGAGCGTCCGTGTAATACCAATTTTATGAAACGAGTGAATAGTTGTGGTATCTGACGAGCGAAAGTGAGTCAGATACCACAAGTATTCACGAGTTTCATAAAATTGGTATTACACGGGAGCGAGTTTAGTATTTTATTTATTACTTGCCATTTATAACATTTTTAGAATTATACTGTCGAGTGTGAATAGACTGACACCTACACGATCCACGGCATAATCCAATTGAGTTGGATTGAGTTGAGTAATACTTCAAACACGTCAAAAGTTGAAACGTATGAATTTAATACCATACAACGTCCACCTTTAGAATTCAGGCGTCCGTTCCACAAAATTATCGTAGCGTTAAGGTTATCGCAACTCACATACTTTAACTTAGACCAACGACTGTCGTTGCGCTACAGTACGATCGCCTTGTGGAACGGGGCCTTGCACCTCAAAGTTTACAATCACGTCACAATACCCGATGACGTAATTTGTGGAATTTTGTTGCAAGATCCTTCGGCGAAACCATGCCATGTGACGTCAGACTGGGTTGCTGGGGTCATCAAGTGGGCATAAGCTCATCTCATTGTCTATCGTGAGAATACCGTATATTATGCATTAACAGTCCGCGGGCCGGATAGCATATGTTAAGTAGCTATCATTTCAAACCATAAATATAACGCTTGCTTCATTCTTCATCATTTGAGTTTCGAGAAAACTAAACGTATGGTATAGTGAAAAATTAGCCCTCATAAATGCTAATTGGGAAGTACGCTTAATTATCTATATACATAACAAATACTTAATTGTCATTCATGTTTTGCTGTTTCTAATTACTATTTTTCCAAAACTGTCTGTGTACGGGTGGAAATTATTTTCTCTTTTTATGTCTTTTGTGCATGTAACCAAACGTGATTCTTGTACAACCCTAACGTACCGCGTGACCATCTTTGGCCACACCCATTGCGGCTCCAGCTGTGAAGGGGCGGGACCTAGGTCATACGACCATGGCTTGGTTAACCCCCCCACCCCCCACCCCCCCCCACCCCCACACGCACACACACACCCCAATCTGACACACTTAAACTAACGCTTAGCCTCTGAAAATAAATACTATTCATGGAAATAAGCAACTACATTTAAATTGAAATGGACCCCCCCCCGTGAGATGGGAGTTTCAGATCTAGACTTGCTTCATATAGAGCTATAATATACAGCTGGCGGGACGGAAAATGATAGGATTCAGGGTCAGTGATACAGACTACTGACATATTATAAAAGTGTCCACAATATCGCAATACAGTCAACTACGGTTATAACGAACACGCTTATAACGAACTGACGTATATAACGAACTTACATTTTACTCACGACTATTTGCTGTAGTTATGCTGTATATATGCTTATAACGAACTACGGTTATAACGAACTAAAGATTGTAGTCCCTTTGAGTTCGTTATAACCGTAGTTTACTGTATGTTGAAATAATTAAATTTGAGTTAAAATGTTTAACAGTCCTGAAAAATTTTTTTTTTAAATTTCACGGGTGGGAGTCATGAGAAACAATAAATTAATTTTAACAAGCAGCAACTCACCTTAGCAACTCGGTCCTCTCGCTCCACAGTCACAAAACCTCCAGTGAGGTGCAGCGCATCGTGTGTGGTTGGGCTTATGTGAATCATCGACCCTATAATATAGGCCAGTGTACGCTTTTTTTAATTCATTGACCCTGAACAAATCAATACGTATTAATAATTATAAACATATACATTCAAAAACCATGTTATGATTGGTGGAACCTTGGCGTTGTGTCTTGAACAGTGCACTTAGTAAGTGACCATACACTTTTCGGTGACAGAAAGAGGGTTAACACTCGACATACACTCTTCAAAAAAAGAAACGCACAGGTCGAGTTTTAGTAAATATATTGTACCTACTAATGTCGATATATTTTATTTAATATCATTGATACAAATGTGAAATTTTGGGGCTCGATAGTCACATGTTGTCGTTGTACAAATGCATTGAAAACTGTTCATTGTCATGTCACATAAGGCCACAAGGTTGCGCTGAACTCAGTATCTCGTTCGTGTGACCGTCCCGGGTAACAACCACGGCTCTGCATCTCCTCGGCACTGACTGGATAAGTGTATGAATTCTGTCCTGCGGAATTCTGAGCCATTCTGCTTGTAACGCGTTTGCCAATTATGGGAGTGTCTGCGGCGTGTTCTGACGTTGACGCACACGTCGATCGTGTTCATCCCAGATGTGTTCGTTTGGGTTGAGGTCTGGAGATCTCGACGGCCAGGGCATGACGTTGATGTGGGCATTATGAAGGTAGTCTACCATGACACGAGCTGTCAAATTTCCTAGAACCACAATCAAGTCAGCTCTCGAGGTGCAGGATACGCCACCCCCCCCCAACACACACACACAAACACACACCATGACACTACCGCCACCGAAATTGCCGAATTCACGTACACAATGTGGGACAAAACGCTCATTTCGAAGACGATAAACACGTTGTCTTCCATCTCGCCGGTGAATAAGAAATCGTGATTCATCTCAAAACCACACTCGTCTCCAGCTTCTGAAATTCCAAGGTCTACGGTCTGCAGTGGAATTGAACTGTGTGTATCAGTCCAAAAGGCGGCAAATGGTGCTGTGGTGTACGTAAGTGGAGCGCAACAGAAGACTGCGATTCCCCTCTTTGGATACGACCCATGGCGATGTTCCGATTGGCAGCGCTGACTCTCGGCATTTTCAAAATGAAAAATGTTGACAATTGAATGACAAATTATAGGCTTATGCTTGCTTTTTTATAGCAACTACCACGAGCTATGAATGCCATAACGTGCTCCTGCATTTTGCTTTACTGTTTTCCTCCATGGCATTTTGAACAAGTGTGAAAACAATGCCGTTTAAGACATTGCAAATCGCCAATGGCTGCGTTTTGACGCACCGTTTGTCAAATATCAGGCCACCAGCATTTTCCAATATAATGTATTTACCAGATTTTTTGTGTAGTCAGGTTCAATGAACTATATACTACCTGTGCGTTTCTTTTTTTGAAGAGTGTATATGGTCCCTCACTATTCACCCTCTTTCGGGCAACGGGACCATATATGGTTCTGAGAAAGTGTTTTTCGACCGTGAATTAAGATGTCAAAGATGAGTGCGCAAGATCAACGTTTTATCCTTCATCACCCCTATCATCTCAGCTTCAGTATCGCGTAACTCATATTTTATACAGTGCTTCGGAATGCGAAATATGGTGAGATTAGTAAAGTGCTCACAACGCTTCTCCACTTTTTCTGTCTCCGCAGCAAATTTGAAAAGAAATCTGGTCACAAAGTTACTTTTCCTCACTGTACAGTTATTGGCTTAAGACTATTGATGTTCGTAGTCTAAAACGAAAGTTTATTTTCTTTTCAAGTATTGCATATTTTCATGGAGATTTAGCACGGCACTAGATACGAAACGATAGTGGAGATTGTCTTTCTGTTTATGTTTGTTTGTTGTTTAACGCCGCACTCAGCAATATTCCAGCTATGTGACGGCGGTCTTGAAATAATCGAGTCTGGACCAGAAAATCCAGTGATTGACATCATGGGCATCGATCCATGCAAATGGGATTCGATGACATGCATCAACCGAGTCAGCGAGCCTGACCACCCGATCCCGTTAGTCGACTCTAACGACAAGCAAAGACGAGAGCACTCAGTCGCCTTGCAAAACAATGCACACGTACTACCGTCTTTCTATTGTTAGACAGCTGATTTAATAAAAGCTTTTAGAAAAAGACCTTTCTGAGAAAAAGTTAAATGATCTTATTACAGACCAGCGGCGTCCTCAACTCACGTTTCCCGAGTGACTCCATCTTGGCTCCTATGCTGATAGTCTTGCCAAAGAGACAGTATCTCGGCATGGTCGGGCCCACCACTGCAGCAAGACATGGACCTGCAATGTGGAGTGAGTGAGTGAGTAAATGCTGTTTCACACCGCAGTAATATTCCAGTAACATCACGGCGGCCTAAGAACTATCGTGCCCCTGGTCAGGTTCGATCCTCGTCTTCAGCCAGGACACACATTTTTGACAACATGATAAAACAGGCATTATTGGGATCTATCTTCCAGTTGGGTGAGTGAGTGAGTGAGTGAGTGAGTGAGTGAGTGAGTGAGTGAGTGAGTGAGTGAGTGAGTGAGTGAGTGAGTGAGTGAGTGAGTGAGTGAGTGAGTGAGTGAGTGAGCGAGTGAGTGAGTGAGTGACGAGCGAACGCTTCAACCACTAGGCTGCCGCACCGCCTCTGGTTCCATTTGGACATCTACTAAGAAATGCTGCTTCTAAGAACTAACACTCAACCTTAGTGTAATTTGTATTTATTTATGTTGTGAGGTGAGGAGTGAGTGTGTGAGTTTGATTCTACGCCGCTTTTAGCAACATTCCAGCAATATCATACTCACTCACTCACTCAATGTGCCCGTGCTCGTGGAGTAAACGGAAGCGTTAACCACCATTGCCATTTAAAGGTATCCTTTCGTATTGAACTGGTACGCCGTGATCTCTATGAAAACCTCTATCACAAGTCACATTGTTTTCTAGGCGCTATGACGATTTAAAGCTATGTGAAATAGTATTAACTACCGGCTTAAAACACTGTACAAAAATATTTATTTTCGTTTTTAGCCCATGGACTTCAATTAATAAATCAATTTCGAGTTACGCCCCCACCCCAACCACAGCGGATGTTTAGAAGAACGTATTGCATTGGACAATCTAGATTTACTGCAGTCGGTTAGCGCCGGGAGAGGCTTTCATACATCACGATACATTGGCTTCCTCAATTGCATTTTTATGATGTTTTGGTTTCGCGTCAGTGTCTGATTGTACATTTGAGTTGTATATTCAAACTGAATGAAATAATAGCTTACCAGTATGACATCCCACTCGCAGTTTAAACTTTGTGCCCGGCAAGTGAGGGATTTCAAGTTGTCCGACATTACCCATGATGTCCAGCGCCATCTTGCCAATTTCAGCCGCGTGACTGTGATCGTTCCGGTTCGGTATCCCTGACAACCAAGAAGTATAAACCGTCTTTCATTATCATGAGAAAACGCGGACTATTTGATATTCGTGGGGCATACTAGGAAAATAAATACAGTAAACTACGGTTATAACGAACACGCTTATAACGAACTGACGGATATAACGAACTTACTTTTTTGGTCCCGACTATTTGCTGTAGTTATGCTGTATATATACTTATAACGAACTACGGTTATAACGAACTTCAGTTCGTTATAACCGTACTTTACTGTATATCAAGTTCATTAGATGCAAAGGTACCAAATGAGTTGTGGATGTAAAAAACACACACTAATTTTGCTTCTACTTTAGTGTCTTGAAGTTTTCAGGAGTACGGACGGAAAATTAATCCACGAAAACGAGTGCTTTCAGCTGAAACCGATTTTATGCAACACTTACTTTGACCATTGTAATAACGAAACACCAAGGACTAAAGCTAAACTTTCAAATCAGCTGTTTCACTCAGAGGTGTTCAATTTTATTTGAAACCTCTGATGGACAAATCTGAATTAAGTATGTTAAAGTCATGGTAGAATAATGCATATTTGCATACAAGTATGGTAATTTTACATGTTCCTACATTTCTTTTCATAAGTATATATGCGTTACGCCATGTTCCCTCTGGATAAATCACTACCTTTAACACGTTAAGGTGATGAGGTATGATGAACTGGGATATAACGCCACACTGTTTGTTGTTTTACGCCGCAATCAGCAATATTCTAGCTATATGACGGCGGTCTGGAATAATCGAGTCTGGACCAGAAAATCCAGTGATTGACATCATGAGCATCGATCCACGAAGTTGGGATACGATGACATGCATCAACCAAGTCATCGAGCCTGACCAACCGACCCCGTTAGTAGTGTGTGGCTGCTTGTAATTGTCTGGACTTATGCTGGTTTTACCTGCATAGTGTGTTTGATTACGTTTGAATTAAAAGACGAATCACGTACCAGACTGATGAGCAAATGAAACTATTCCTCTCAGCTAAATTTGTCATGTTTGATTTTCAGTTGAAAATAGCTAGTTAACGATATTATATCCAGAGCCTTACTGGCGCTTAGTCAGCACTTAAAGGATGCATGGTTATATTTTTAAATTTTATCATTTGTTTTAAAACTTTAAAAAATTCAAAAACAACATCCGCATTATCCATAACTACTGATTCATTTCTTAGACATCTTATCGTTGAAAATCAAACTGTTGCAGGAATGAGTGATGGTTAAATAAACTTACTCAAATTTAACAACAGGTCTTTAAATTTTCAATTGCATTAAAAGCATTAAAAGCATTAAAAGCATAGTTTCCTTTGCCACTCGGTAATGTCGGTGTTCGTCTTTTTAACGTTTTGCAGTTGGTATATGAGTGAGTGTGTAAGTTTGGTTTTACGCCGCTTTTAGCAATTTTCCAGCAATATCACGGCGGGAGACATCAGAAAGGGCTTCACACTTTGTACCCTTGTCGGGAATCGAACCCGGGTTTTCGGCGTGGTGGGCGAATGATTTAAGCACTAGGCTACCCGGACGCCCCTAGTAGGTATATACTTAAGGTCAGGGGTATCTGGCGTTACCGTCTCAGTATTGAGACGAGATACTAGAGGATGATTTTTGTGAAATGTACATGCGGATCACTGTCTGTGGTAAAAGAGAACAGTTGAGGACGAAAGAAAGTTGCATTATGTCGATGAAATATACTGAACCGCAAAAGAAACGTCACCATGGATAGATATATGAGAAACCTTATTTGTCCAAACACTGTAAACATACTTTGCGACATATTAAAAAGATTAAACTTGGCAAAACTGATCATCGAGGTTGAAATTAAAGTGACAAATGTTCTTAAAGTTAAACACAACACTAGTCTCTGAGAAAATGGCATCACAAGTCAGTAACTCGTGTGTCCGCCATGTGCATTGATGACTGCCGTGCAACGTCGATACATGGAATGGATGAGGCGGTTGATGAAGGCCATAGGCACTTGAGCCTACACTCTGAGGAACGCCTGACGCAGTTTAGCTGCAGTTGTCGGCCTTGGTCGGACGTCATTCAGCCGTCTTTGAATGCCGTCCGAAAGGTGCTCAATGGGATTTAAATCGGGACTGAGGGCAGGCTACTGCATGGGTCTGATGCTATTCTGCTGGAGGAAGTCTCTTATTGCTCTCGCTGTGTGGGCACGGGCGTTTTCATGCTGAAACTCGTGGTTGCGGCGACGTGCCAAATGAGGTATGGAGTGTGGTCTCCAGACTTGATCAATGTACCGAGCTGCTGTGACACAATTGCCTCTCCCTGGACCGATGTTCTGGAAGACCACAGGGCCGACCCTCTGTGCACAATCTGACGATCCTGACGTCAGGTGGTGACCCTTGGTCTTCCACTACGTGGTCGGTCATCTGTAGTGTTGGTGGTCGGGTACCGTTGCTTGAGCCTGTATATGGTCCTTACTTGGACTTGAAATGCATTGGCTACTTGCCGGGCGGTGTGTCCAGCTTGCAATCGCTAATTTCGTGTCAATCTTGGCATGTGGTAGCAATTCAATAACGAATGAATGTTATCCGATCTGGGTGGATTTTTATAGGGCACGCATGTGCATTTCAATTTGCACGGAACTCACGTGCATCGGGTTACTATGGCCGTTGCCGTGATGCGTTTGGGCGATCGGTTTCATTGTCATCTGCTTTGTTTTTTTATCATCAAATTTCATGTTTCCGTCAAAATAATGTTAAAATTGAGAAAATTGACAACAATTACCCAGATATTAAAATGACAACTTTTCATGCAATGTTACTCGGGGTGACGTTTCTTTTGCGGTTCAGTATAGTTTGACATTTATCATTTAGTAACTCAAACGCGAATGGCGAATAATGAAATATTTCTCCAATGACCAATAAAGCATATATGGATCCAGAAGGGGGTGCAGAGGTGCACAATACCTTTATAAAGATTCTTAATATTTTCCTAAACAGGTAGCTTATATGTGACCAGGTAAATGCAATTAAGATTGACTGTGTATTTTTTTCGGTTCATTGAGGTATGAATCGAAAAAACGATGTGCAAACTGTATGATTCCGCCGCCAGATTCGAACATTAGTTCCCAGAGAACGGGAAGATACAGCAGGAAAAATGCTAGTTAGAAATGAAACCCGAAGACATGAAAGTTGTGGAACCGAGGCGAGCGGGGGAAAAACCCAGTCGACCGAGCCTGCACGTTTGTTGTTTCATTCCGTCTCGGCCTTCGGTCCCAAAGGGTAGTTTGGACAATTAAATTGCACTAATTTCACTGAATGTCCTGTGAATGACGATACCCGTGAGCAGAGAGGGAATTTCCTCGACTGTAATATTGGATTCCCCGACATTCAGTAGTAATAAAAGTAGTCCGCTTCGTTGGGCGTGGCTTAATTTTGTACATTCATTTGGGAAATGAATGCAATAACCAAGACCAATTCAGCTTATCAGAATGCAGGAATTTCAATGAACACAACGAAAATTTAATTATATCGCTTTGCAGATTGCGATCCCAAATGCAACATTCCGTTTCTGTATCAGCTACTGTAACCTCACTTGCAACATACAACAGTAACTTCTTGTTCGAGATTGGATATTTTGGACTACAGTAAACTACGGTTATAACGAACACGCTTATAACGAACTAACGGATATAACGAACTAACTTTTTAGTCCCGACTATATGCTGTAGTTATGCTGTATATATGCTTATAACGAATTACGGTTATAACGAACTAAAATTAGTAGTCCCTTTGAGTTCGTTATAACCGTAGTTTACTGTATTAACAAACCCGAGACAATCATGTATGCATCTCCAATAGTTTCCACTGTGTAGACATCATACTTGGCTATGCGTTCATTAAAACACAGATATAGGCTGTTGAGCATGTTCACGACTTGCACAGGGGAACTCCTGGCTGTGATGAGTGTGAAACCCTGGATGTCAGAGAAGAGGATGGTGGCCTCGCTGTAATGTTCCGCTCCAACTATTTCATTATGTTTCATTTTCTCGGCCACGGATTTCGGGATCATTTGATAAAACAGCATCTCGGTTCGCTTCTGTTCTTTATCCAGGGCTCTTGCTCTGAAGAGAAGAGTGGATGGATGAATTTACTCGTAACAGTATGTCAGTTATATAAATATTATCAGCTTAATGTTTCAGGAAGGATTGGAGTTGACGTTGCCAATGTCGAGAAACTCACAAGAACGGATTTGGTGCAGGCAGACCATCGATCCTAATTTGTCGACTTTTGGATTCGAACCTAAGAGCTGATCGTGGCACGGATAACAAACACAGCAGTATCGTTTCGCGGTCATGTTATCGCCTTCTCGTCCAATGGTAAACCTATATGTTGTGTAAACTTCACATTAAAAGTTTAAATCTAAAACATATGTTTAATCTAAAACATCAATCAAACTCTGGCCCTACCTCTTAGTTAGGGCCGTGGAGTACTGTTGTATCTCGTTCGTCAGGGAATACATGGTGTAGATGATTACAGGGCAGAGGATGAAGACACAGGCAAGGACGAAGGAAATCCCCATGACTCTGTTGAGGGTGTAGATCTGTCCTTCGTCCATGATCTGCGTGATCTCCTCTGACAAGTCCGTCTGGGTCGTCAGCAGAAGGTCCATGTACATCGTCATGTTGTTGAACCACCACTGGGCCATCTTCACCGAACCCTTGCCCATCAGATCGTTCCGGCGAATCTCGGCCCTCATCCTGCCCAAGACGTCCAGAAGCATCTCATTACCCTGTGACGAAGAATACCTGATGGTTAAACATCTTCATGGGCTGAAACTTTGATATTGAGGGTGAGGGTTGGGATTTCTTTTTTTTGTTCCTCAGAGTTGACATACAAAAGATCGTTCATTGGACATGCTTCATAAAGATTAATGTGTTGTGAAATGCTACGTTTCACAGTGGAAGCACATGACAGCGAAGTGTATGATTGAGCAATCTCCTTGCAGTAAAAGATGTAGGTCTCTGTTAGACTGGAATTACTATGCTAGTTGCCATGGCTAGGAGGTATGTAAATATCACTTTATCCAGCTTCTAACATTTGCAGTCATGATTGATGTATGATTCTACAGAAGTAGAGAATGTCGCAAATTATGTTCAGAGATTGTACACTGACATATGATTCCAGCTTATCACATTAAATGATCCCCTTTGAGTCTTTTTAGAAGGTGATCAGATATTTTCATATTCATTTTCATTTTCATTTTCATTCAGATTTCTCCTGGGTCATATCTTTGCTTATTGTAAGAATTGCTCCAAAGTCCCAGACTTCAAAGAGGTAGAATACATTCTCAGTTGCCAGTCATTTCAAAGATAATTTTATCATAAATGTGAAAGTTTTCCACAACTTTGCTGTTTGGAATTTGGCAAAAGGGGCACTTGTGATAGTAAACCTTTAGTTTGTTAAAAATACCATAACTGTGTATATAGAATCATGAACCACTCACATGGATATTCTTCTCGTACAAAGCATGAACTAATCCAGAGTATCGCCTAGCCGACAGGAAAGTAGCATTTGTGACATCCTGGCTCTCCGAGAACCACAGATGCGCTTCCCTGGACGGGAACCTGCCTGTAGCGTAGAAGACTGTGCCCAGGGCTCGCTCCAGCCCCATGTACTCCTTAGCCACAATGACCTCTTGGTAGGCCACCAAGCTTCTCCAGATTGCACCTGAGTGGTCCTCAGTGACGGCGTCGTACAACCACGAGATGAACACACTGATCAGCGAGGTGTACATCTCCAGCTCCATCGTCACTGTCTGATTGAGTGTATCTAGCTCGTACCTTTGGTAATCAAAAAAGAAAAAAGCCCCAGCAAATGGTCATCTTTGTTCTCTTCATAATCGTGGTCTTGGTATACCATGTTATTTTGGGAGTGAGTGAGTTGTGTTTTACGCTGCATTTAACATTATTCCAGTTATGTCACGGCGTGTCAGCTTAATTTGGGAGGAAAGCCCGAAGTGATGCAGGTTTCAGACGTTCACCACTTTGGTGAAACCCACGAACACAGGTATGGTGCTAACAAACGCAGAAACATTATCGGGGCGAAATGGGATTCGAACCCACAATCATAGGTTTCTGGCGCGACCAGAGACGCAACTCTACACAGGGACTGGGCAACAAGTGCCTAGTTATATTTCGAATCATGTATAATGAATGTAGATCTGATTCATATTTGTATTAATATATCATTTCGAAATCACATTGAGACAGCGTTATTCAATTCTTAATTTTGGTCGCACTATATGTAAATGTCCACGTCCAGACCGACACTCCGCACTCTATATGGCGGCTCACGCAAAAGGTCAGGGTTCCACTCCCAACATGGGTACAATGTGTGAAACCCATTCTGGTCTTCTTCGCGAAGCGTAAAACTATACTGACTCACACAAAGGCGCCTTAAACCTATCTTTTTCTTCCCCTCTTTCTCGCCTCTCTCTTTGTCTCTCTCTTAATCTCTCTCTCTCTGTGTGACTCTCTCTTTCTCTCTGTGTGACTCTTTCTTTTTCTGATTCTCTCTCTCTCTCTTTTCTCTCGCTCTGTTACTCTCTCCCTCTTTCGGGGCGGTCGGGTAGCCTAGTTGTTAAAGCGTTCGCTCGTCACGCAGAAGACCCGGGTTCGATTCCCGATATGGGTACAATGTGTGAAGCCCATTTCTTGGGTCCCCCGCCGTGATATTGCTGGGATATTGCTAAAAGCGGCGTAAAACCATACTCACTCACTCACTCACTCACTCCATCTCCCTCTTTCTCTCTCTCTCTCTCTCTCTTTCTCCCTTTCACTCTCTATGTCTCTCTCTCTCTCTCTCTCTCTCTCTCTCTCTCTCTCTCTCTCTCTCTCTCCGTCTCTCTCTATCTGAGCAGAAAGCGAACTGTGTTACAGTTAGACATACCTGTGTCTGTTGAGGTAAGATAAGAACTTGTCCTTAGACTGGAACTCTGGAAGGACGAGGGTAGGACCAGTTGTCCAGAATGTCAGCTTCTCGAGTGACTTATCAGTCTCTGGATACCGACGAAGAAGTAGACTCTTTGTCTTTTCCTCGATGGAACTGAGGTACAGAGCGCTAATGTCCCGCTCTTCCTGAAGGGAATGGATGACCGTCCCCAGTTCGACACTGTACAGCAAAGTGGCGCGAATACCGAACGACTGCACGTACCTTGTGAACGTGTGGGAGAAAGTGTTGCCGATGAGGGCTGTCAGCACAGCAACGGGGATGATGACGATTGAAATTGTCTTGAGCAGTTGTCTGGGTTTGCCGGCGATCCGGGCTTGGCTGTCTGTTGAAGCAATAATAACGATTGTTAGTGTAAGTCAATTGAAACAATTTTGTCAATGTCTTGATTTTGCATTGTAACTGAATTAATTAATTATATCTGTAATGGTGTAAGAAATATTACTGAAACCAATATCGAAATAGTATTGTTACTAATTAATTAAGAAATATTGATAAACAGCGATTAAAGTCCAGGGTTGCATAGCATATGTTTTGACATGATGAATTCTCTTCCAAATAGGAACGATGAGGTAGGCTGGTGGTTTAAGCATTTGGTTTGCCACGCGGAAGGCATGGGTTCGATTCTCCGCACTCACTCACTCACCCACTCACTCACTCACTCACTCACTCACTCACTCACTCACTCACCCACCCACTCACTCACTCACTCACTCACTCACCCACTCACTCACTCACTCACTCACTCACTCACTCACCCACCCACTCACTCACTCACTCACCCACCCACTCACTCACTCACTCACTCACTCACTCACTCACCCACCCACCCACCCACTCACTCACTCACTCACTCACTCACTCACTCACTCACTCACTCACTCACTCACTCACTCACTCACTCACTCACTCACTCACCCACTCACTCACCCACTCACTCACTCACTCACTCACTCGTATTCATTTGATTTGAAATATATGATAAAAAGCAGAAATCTCATTTTAACTCCGGTTTAGCAAGAGACGACAAACAAACAAATAGAAAAAAATTCGTTATCATGGCAACAAGAAAAGATAACTCTTCTTCCCTTGAATGCCGACGCTTTCTGTAGTGTTATATTAAAACAGTTGTTAATATGGGACAGAATCCAAAAAATAGTGATGGCTTTGAAACAAAAGCGTTAACATTACATTTTTCTAAATGACCCGTACTGACAGTCTTTTTCTTGAAAACATCTTTAGGCTCACCTCGACAAAACTGTTCGCACTGGTTTCGCGCCGGGTACATCTGTAGCATGTCCCGTATTGCCAGATTGAGCTGGGATGAGTTTAGAGAACCCGTGTCTCCCTCCGTGTTGTCGGTCGTTCCTACTCTCGCTCCCCATTTGGCCGTCCATGGCATCCTCTGAATGGTATCAAAGTCATTCAATTCATACACAAATATAGAACACAGTTTAATTAGTGTAAGGCCTAGTGGTAAAGGCATTCGCTCGTCACGCCGACAGCCAGGGTCCGATGCCCCACACAGGACAATGCGTGAATCCCCCGCCTTGATATCACTGGAATATCGCTAACAGCCGCCTAAAGCATTACCTACTCTCTCGTATGAACAGAACTGGCATGGTCAGGGCAAAGCGGTATCAGAACATGGTCTGCTTTAATGATTACAGGCGGTCGGGTAGCCTAGTGGTTAAAGCGTTCGCTCGTCACGCCGAAAACCCGGGTTCGATTCCCGACATGGGTATAATGTGTTAAGCCCATTTCCGGTGTCCCCCGCCGTGATATTGCTTGAATATTGCCAAAAGCGGCGTAAAAGTCATACTCACTCACTCTAGTGTTTAAGGCCTGGTTCTGAATCAGTTGTACATATATGACTATGAAGAAACTTAAAGTTGCTCTTCCCAATCTAGGTGGTTTTCCCCTCATCTTCGTAGCGAGACTAAAGACATGCCCACTCCTAGCCGCCAATGATTAAATAAGACACGTAATATCTGTTACCAAGAAGAGGAATACATTGTATTAATTCCCATTAGCCTCTCGTGTTTACTGTCCTTTACATACAAAGTACATACGCGACTTACGTACTAAATAACATGTAAATTATAGGCACAAATTTACTGTTTTGATCAGAGACGTGAATCCCAAACCAATCATTCCATGTCTCTTGGGCTCGGCTTAAGGGAATAAAACAAGGACTGGTCGGCTCCGAGTGAGGTACGACCCGTGAAGATTCCGGGTAGAATAGGTCTTCAGCAACCCATGCTTGCCGTTACAGGCGACTATGCTTGTCGTAAAAGGCGACTAACGGGATCGGGTGGTCAGGCTCGCTGACTTGGTTGAAGCATGTCATCGATCCTAATTGCGTGGATCGATGCTCATGATATTAATCACTGGATTGTCTGGTCCAGACTCGATTATTTACAGACCGCCGTCATATAGCTGGAATATTGCTGAGTGCGGCGTTAAACAACAAACCGACCGAGTGAGTGTCTCTGAGTAGGGTATTTATGTTAAACAGCGACGTTGTATTTCAGTGGACTTGGACAAACAGTAACACAGACACTTATAAGCCCGTCGCTATGTAAGTGCAACAATCTTGAATGCGACGTTAAACCCCATTTCAACTTACCTCATGTGAGATTTTATAAAAAGGAAGACAATGAAAACTTTGACTGAGTGAAAAGAAAATTGAGAGAACCGACCACTGTAGAATATTATTACAGTACAATTTCGAATACTAAGAAATCACTTGATATTGATGAATATCCTCTTAAGATTCACATTCCTTTATGGACGCTACTCCCGCACCTACCTTTGCGATATCCGTGGCTGTTGCCAGCTTGATGGTCCTTTGGTTGTTTATTTCTACAGAAATATTTTTACCGTTGAGACAACTCCGTTGACAAAATGTGTGGTCTCCATAGCAACTATCGTGTGATAAATACAACGTGGTAGGTTTCTCATGGCAACTCTCGCAGGTTTCACACATCCATAAAACAGCGGCGTCATCAGTTGACGCCCATACGTAGTGTCTTGCGCAAAGGGTATTAATAGAAAGCACGAAAGTTGAAGTTATTGATTAAACGTTTTTGGTCAATGCCAAAACCAGGAGGTACTTTAAGACATATATTTCTAAACGGTTGACTTGATGTAAAAACTTCAAAAGAATCATATTTGTAAATGAAACATTTTGAATATTTGCTTGAATTATTTTTCTTTCACGTTTTTGGTCATTTTGAAACATGGATTAAGGGGAAATAACTGTAGGGGGATGATTTGTGTGTTTTCAGTTAGTCATCCTTATTTAATGTTTACAATTACAAACATACAATTTCGTTACAATATTCAAATGTAAAAAATATGTAAAATATGAAATAATTTCATTAACTGGTACTCCTTAAACGTACACATATTGAGTATTGGTTTGAAAACGTGCGTGTGTGTGTAAGCGCGTGTCTGTAAGTGCGTGTGTGTTTGTGTGCATGTGTGTTCGTGCGTGTGTTTATGTGAATGTGTGTGTGTATGTGTGTGTGGGAGTATTCTTGTATGGGTTTGTGTATGTGTGCGTGTGTGTTTGTGTGCATGTGTGTTCGTGCGTGTGTGAGTGTGTTTATGTGAATGTGTATGTGTGTGCGGGAGTATTCTTGTATGGGTTTGTGTATGTGTGCGTGTGTGTTTGTGTGCATGTGTGTTCGTGCGTGTGTGAGTGTGTTTATGTGAATGTGTATGTGTGTGCGGGAGTATTCTTGTATGGGTTTGTGTATGTGTGCGTGTGTGTTTGTGTGCATGTGTGTTCGTGCGTGTGTGAGTGTGTTTATGTGAATGTGTATGTGTGTGCGGGAGTATTCTTGTATGGGTTTGTGTATGTGTGCGTGTGTGTTTGTGTGCATGTGTGTTCGTGCGTGTGTTTATGTGAATGTGTGTGTGTATGTGTGTGTGGGAGTATTCTTGTATGGGTTTGTGTATGTGTGCGTGTGTGTTTGTGTGCATGTGTGTTCGTGCGTGTGTGAGTGTGTTTATGTGAATGTGTATGTGTGTGCGGGAGTATTCTTGTATGGGTTTGTGTATGTGTGCGTGTGTGTTTGTGTGCATGTGTGTTCGTGCGTGTGTGAGTGTGTTTATGTGAATGTGTATGTGTGTGCGGGAGTATTCTTGTATGGGTTTGTGTATGTGTGCGTGTGTGTTTGTGTGCATGTGTGTTCGTGCGTGTGTGAGTGTGTTTATGTGAATGTGTATGTGTGTGCGGGAGTATTCTTGTATGGGTTTGTGTATGTGTGCGTGTGTGTTTGTGTGCATGTGTGTTCGTGCGTGTGTGAGTGTGTTTATGTGAATGTGTATGTGTGTGCGGGAGTATTCTTGTATGGGTTTGTGTATGTGTGCGTGTGTGTTTGTGTGCATGTGTGTTCGTGCGTGTGTGAGTGTGTTTATGTGAATGTGTATGTGTGTGTGGGAGTATTCTTGTATGGGTTTGTGTATGTGTGCGTGTGTGTTTGTGTGCATGTGTGTTCGTGCGTGTGTTTATGTGAATGTGTGTGTGTATGTGTGTGGGGGAGTATTCTTGTATGGGTGTGTGTATGTGTGCGTGTGCGTGTGCGTGTGCGTGGGCGTATAAAACTGCTTTTCGGAGTGATATAGATGAACAGGAAATGTTATTACGACGCGACCGATATTGATGATGAATGAGCATTGTTTACTTAATTTTCAGCAATACTCCAGCAATATCACAGTGGGGACTCCACAGATGGGCTTCACATATTGTCAACTTACGGCCAAAAGAAACTGTACCATAGTTTTATATCAATCTAGTTTCAAAACTACAAAAGATAGATGCATGAAGTAAAATATATTGAGCAGATCAAAATCTCAACAAAATCAACATGATTTAAAATGACCGTCATACAGCTTCCGATATTGGCATGACAGTTGCCCGAATTGAGGCTGGGTGGCAAAAACAAGCTTACAGTGTAATGGACAAAGGGCACAAACATCTAAAATCGCTGAAGTTGAATGACACGTCACATTAACAGCGTATGTGACGACCCCCTGCCAGAAAACATGCAAAAGCTCCCCGGTGCAGTGAAACAGTCAGTCGTCTGATGACATCACGTGGGATACGTCGCCATTCTTATTTGGGGGTCTGGACTAGTTCTTGTCGGTTGCCTTGAGGAGTCGAACACGGCGATCCATGACATCCCAGGGGTTC